AAAAAAAAAATAAAATTTTTTCAATCCCTGATCTTGACCCCCATTTTTTTTTTAAATTTTGAAATTTTCGTGGTTATCTTAGTTTTGTAGATAAAAAAATTAAGTTGTTGATACTTTTAAGCACCACGCTAATACATACATTAGTGAATACATAAATTGGTAGGAAGATAACAACACACTGTTTGATTTCTTACTCACATTGCGCTAAACTTNTTTCAATCCCTGATCTTGACCCCCATTTTTTTTTTAAATTTTGAAATTTTCGTGGTTATCTTAGTTTTGTAGATAAAAAAATTAAGTTGTTGATACTTTTAAGCACCACGCTAATACATACATTAGTGAATACATAAATTGGTAGGAAGATAACAACACACTGTTTGATTTCTTACTCACATTGCGCTAAACTTGGATTGTCGACGAAAACGGGCGTCGCTAACGTTGGTGTTGCTGTGCAGCTGAGCAGCAGCAAAAACGCCACAAGAGGCAGCAATGATGCAGCATCAGATTTTATTACTTGCCATAGTGGCATGCTGCGGCTGTTGCTGTGGCTGTTGCTGTGGCTGTGGCTGTTATTGGCGGAGAGATGCAGGTGCTGGTTGGTGGTATATTTTTGCTGCAACGCATTGCTTAAAGTATCTTTCGTGCGTGCTTCTGTTGTTTTTGTAATATATGTTGCTGTTGTTGTGGTTGTATCTGTAGCTTTGCTTGTAACATTTGCACTACATTTACTCAACGCATTTGAAGCTGAATTCCTGTTTGACGTTCTCGTAGCGGTTGGCACAGCTGAAGTTCCAGTCGCTTGTGAAGTTGTTTTGAAGGCAGGCGGTGGAAATGAAGCCGGTTTTATTTGACGTATTGTACCCATCTGAAAATGAGAGGAGATGAAATGATTAATTGTAGCTAAGTATGTATATAAATACAAAGAAAAAGTGTGAATAGGCCCGTGTAGCAGTATGAAATGCAATTGTTTGGTTAATTGTTCTATAATTTGGTGTAATATAGTCCGAAAGGTCTATTTTGTGGCTTTTGAAAATGCTTGGGTCTCAAATAACGATTTTTACCAGCCCTTTAGCAAATATGCAGTCTCTGATATTAGTTGAAAGTTTATAGCTTCCTTAAACATAAACAATCTTTTATTTGTATTGGCGAATTAAAGATCGTTGGTATACCTTCTAAGCGATTTTACGAAAAGTGAAAGAGTTTTTGTCATACCTTTTACGGGATAACTTAATGGATGAAATTCAAACTTTTACTGAAACGAAATTCTGCCAAATAAGTAAAAGAAAACGAAAGCGAGAAATTTTAACGTCCATCATAAATCAAGAATTAATCACACCCTGAATTCATTAGCGAACAAACAAACTTATATGGAGATTTTTTCTCCTGAGCGAAAAGCGAAAGTTGCGTGGTTAGCAAAGTGAAAAAATTTCTTAAATCTGAGAAAAATATGTTAATAAAGTTGCAGCCGCCATAGCAAGCCAATAATAAAAGCCAGCCCGAGCGACGCAATAACAATAACTATAAAAGTAAATATTTTGCACGCACAAACAAAAATACAGAAATAACTCGCGAAATGCAAAACTTTCATTCTGACCTAATATTGCCTAAAAAGAAATGGAGAAAAAATGAAGCAAAACGATACACTTCATTGCTGATCGACTGACTACAGCTGGCACTGATTGTAGCTGACTGCTAGCACAGGTCGTGCCCGTCGGCGTAGAGCTGGTGTCGGTTGGCAGGCAGGCAGGCAGGCAGGCAGGCAGGCGTTGGCCTCAAATGTCGCTGTGATTGGCAGCGGTGACTGGCAATAAGAATAGCTGCAAGTAGCAACAGCAACAGCGGCAATCAGCAGTGGCATAATTTGTTTACTTGGCGGAGATGAAGATAAGATTTCGTGAGTGAACCCAGTGAACCATATGCTATGTAGACTTAATTTGGAGAAGAGATGCATAAAAATTGTAATGGTAATGCTAATAGAAAATGGTAATGGAAAAGGTTCTGGCAATGGTAATGGTAGTAGTAATGGTAATGGAAATGGTAATGGTAATGTTAATGGTCGTGGTAATGGTAACCGTAATGGTAATGGTAGTAGTAGTGGTAATGTTAATATTAATATTAAGTGTAATGGTAATGGTAAAAAAACCATAATAATAATTCCAATGGTATTTTTAATGGTAATGGTAATGGTAATGGTCTTGGTAATGGTAATGGTTATTGTAATGGTTATGGTAATGGTAATGGTAATGATAATGGTAATAGTAATGGTAATGGAAATGATACCAGTAATGATATTGGTAATAGGAATGATAATGGTAATGGTAATGGAAAGGGCCACTGTAATGGTAATGACAAATGTAATGGTACTGAAAACTCCAACCATAAATCTTAAAAATATATTGGTATTCGTATGTATGTGGATTCATATACTGCGTATAAGTACTTGCTCATTACTAAAGGTTTACTGGTGTGTATAGCACATACATACATACATTTTGCTCTGCAATTACTTTCGCTTTACAAACGCTAATTTTACGCCCATCAGGGCCACTGCAAATTTTGGCTTAAGTGAAATTACTTTTAAATATATCGGTATAGGTTTTGAAATTTTGTTTACAAATATGTTTAGCAAAATTCTTGCAAAACTCTTCAAAAAATGGCACCGGTTACGTGCGCACGCGCAGCAATATTTAAAACCTCATTCTCGCATTTGCGAACTTGTGTGTGTTGAAAATATGTGTTTATTTTGGCTTTAGCGATACGAGTAGGTGAAAGTTATTGACGATAATGCGAATGAATGTTGAAATTACGGAAGCGTTGCCAGGCGTGCGGAATTCTGCAAATTTGCTGGCTCATAAAAAAGGAATTTGCAAGCGTTTATGTAAGGTTGTGAAATTGTGGATTTAGTGTAATAAAAAAGAAATACGCATATCATACGAAGAGCCTCTGAGCGCTTAATATGTTTTATTGGAATGCAATTTATTTCTTAAGATTTTCTAGATTTGAGGAAAAAATACAAATCTGTACATATAGGTATGTATGCTATACCTATGTATGTATGTATGCATTTGTTCAAGTGTGTGCTGTTACATAAATATGCATGTCCATACAACATAAATACCCAAAAAAAACCACCTCAATTGTTGACGCATCTGGAATTTCACACTTAAGAAATCAGAAGTGTTTTATCACGCCATCGACGTCAACTTGAGTCACCAGCTTCGCTTCACATCTTGCACCGCAGCGGCTGCCTAGACTAGTTAACGGACCTTCGTTCACCTTTCACATTGACTATTTTTTTTTAAATTCACTTTATTTTAGTTTATTCGGTTTGTATTGGTTGTTCGTGCTTTTCAAATTTCATATGCAAGTGTGTCATGCGCTTCTACTATTCCGTTTTGTATGCATTTGGCAAAAATGTGTCACCTTATTTGGCTGTGTAAAAGAAAGTTTTTGTGCTCTGGTGAATATATTTTGTTATTTATGCTTTTTTAGCGCCAAATATTTAAACAATTATTTTTTTTTTATTTAATAGTACTATGAAAGCATTTTTAGTTTATTCACTCTCGATGTGTGTTGGCTTAAGCAAACTTTGTGGCCTCTAAATTTGCGTTGTTAGTAGTTATATAATTCCGCTGTTCGAGAATCTTATACGAAAAAAAGTTGGAACTCTGCTACAAAGTTAACTAATTTTTGATGGAAATTGCCTTATGAATTCGAAGAAGAATTTCGGTATTCTAAGAAAACTCGAGGGTCTTAGGTATGTATACATGCAATTACTTTTTCCTCCCCTGGCCCAGCCTATAGGATTTGTTACCTTTTATAGCAAAAATAAAATAAAAATCTAGGATGGGCTCATTCCTCATGTATCGTGGCCTGTACTTTGTAAGGGGCGGAAAATTTGCTCATTAATAAAAGACTTTGTAAGGGATTGTAGTGTAAATTGAGTTCTATAAAAAAATCTTAGAGAAAACTTCAGCTGACAATATAAAAACTATGCGGAACTTTGATAGAAACACTTCTAATTTTAATACGCTAACGACGCTACGACTTTTAGGTAACTTAGAGCTAAGTTCGAATTAAAATTTTTTTATCATCCCATAACCGATATCTATGAATAGATATAATTTTTTAGATCATAATGAAATTAAAACGATCATAAAACTGCAGCCTTTCTTATAACGATTAAAAATGATCGAAAAATATAAACCCAAAATAAACGATTATTTTTTGACCGACAAAAAAAAAAAACTAAATTTAAAGATTATTATTTATCTTAAAAAAATAATAATCAAAAAAGCGATTGTTTAGTTATCTAAAAATAAAAATCTTGATATGTTGTGGTCATTTTAGTGCCTTGATATTAATAATACCTTTATTTGGATTGGTCCTCCTTTTTTGGTACGCAACAAAAATTGTATGTATTGTTAGATTAGATTTAACCAGTTGAATGGCTATGGATAATATCATTTTATGCAATTTTTATTACATACATTTATTTTTTTATGGATCTATAAAAGTATGCATACATACATACATATATGGTTAACCTTAAAATTCGAATGATTTTCTCACAAAAGGTAAAAAACCAAACTGCTCCAGATTTCAATGCGTGATGAGAGCCTGGTTTCAAACAAGAAAAGATAAATGCGTACCACAACACCTTCTAATATACTAGCAAGAAATAAAATCTGTAACAATGATTACTTGTACGTCATAAGCATAACAAATAAGATTCTTAAACGAAGAACAAAAACGGCGAAAGAATGACGAAAGATGTGTAAAAGAAAAGAAAGTACAAAGGTAGACAGATACGGTATTCTCTTTTGTGCGCTGGCATAACAAAGAGCAATATGGCAACGGTATCAGTTACATTAGCTCTGTTACACTCTTTGGCTTGCATTATTTTATTATAATTTTCCGAACATTAGGGCGTTAACAGCTTTGGGCACAAAATAATTTCCTTCTTTAAGAATACAGATATATGTACAAGCGTATATCGTGAGAGATATAGATGTACGTTGTTCGAGGTTTAGAAAATTAAAAGTAAAAAAAAAAAAATCCCAAAAATTCGACAAAACTCAGCATATTGAAATATATTCGTAAATCGCTATAAACTCTCTGAGTTACAGCGGGCCAAAATCTAAACTTTATAGGACTTTCGCGATTAAAAAAAAAAAAAAAATTTTCCAACCCTGCACAGTGGTTCAAAATAGGCATTTTGTGTCCACAATTCACTGAAACTTTTATTTTTCACTCAATTTGGTTAATTTCTCTTTTAAATGGAAGCTAATAAAATTTGCAAGAGACCAGTTGAACCCGATTTTTGAACTTTTGTTTGTTGGCATTAAATTTTTTAAAGTAGAAATTTTGGAGAAAATCGATTCTCCTGTTCCAGTTAATAAATGTTCAATAATAAAAAAAAAAACAATTGTAAGGTTCTCGCACATCGAAAAAATAAAAAATTGAAATGGCATACAAAATTTTACCCAAAATTATTATTATTTTTTTTTTTGGTTTTTATAAAAATGTTGGCTATGCAGTTTTATTGATCATTAAAGTTTAGTATAATAAAGTGCAAGTTGCAAGTGGCTAGGATTTCGCTTTGATTTTCACATTTACCATGCAAATGCGATCCCTTAGCCACTTGCAAACTGCCCTTTATTTTAACTAAAATTTAGTTGCCTGTAAAACTGCATACCAAACATTTTTCTAGAAACTCAAACATTTTTTTTTTTAATTTTGGTGAAATTTTTTTTACATTTAAAGTTTTTCTTGAGAAACTTGTTTTCGTTCCGCGGCAGCCCTACAAATGTTTTCAACTAGTTTTTATTATGTAACATTTACTAACTCGAACAGGAGAATCGA